AATCACCGCTTACACTTGTCATTCTTTCTTCTTTTGCCGTCTCATGGTCTTCTTCTTCCACCGTTCTATCCCCCAATGGAGCATAGGCCCTCAATCAACTCATGCCAAGTCGTTCTCTCCTTCGCCATTGCATGGAGCACTCCCCATGTCCTTCCCATCTTTATAACTTCATTTTCCAGCTGTATTGTCTGTGTGTTTTTTGGCCTTTATTTATTCCTCTGCCCCTGTGGGTTCCAATGCAAAAACATTCTAGTTATGCTGTTTTCCTGTTTTCTCAGTGTGTGTCCCATCCAACGCCAGCGTCTTTTCCTCACCTCTTCTACTGGAGCCTATTTAGTTCTCTGCCAAAGCTCTACATTACTTATTCTATCATACAATTTAATTCCCTCTATTATGCACAGGCACCAGTTAATGAATGTCTGTATTAGTAATTGCCTTAGTTGTTCTCCGTGTTTCCGCCCCCGTCTCATGATACCTGGTTGTAATCCAGTGTTGTGGTTTTCTGTATAAGTCATAGGCTTTTCGGGTGGTCTGGGTTATGTATTTATTGATCTTTTTTGCAGATTCCAGCTATTAAAAATAGCTTCCCCCAATACAAGGGGGTCCTTATATAACCTAACAGGCTGTTATAGGTCCATTCTTTTGTGGTATGTAATTTTTTTTTCTTTATTTGAAACCCCACCCTGAATATAGCTGGGCTAAAAATGTCGTCATAACGGCTGAAAGGGGTTTCTGGGACCTCTCTACGGTGATCCTCATCCGAATGGTGGCACATTGTTTCACCGGGTAGTCTGGTAGTCTTAGTTTCAGCTTCATAGCAAACGGGTCACCCCATCTTTGCTCCGCTCCTGCGCCAACGAAAAACACAGAATTTTTATCACAGTCCCTTGTGGAAAGATTGACAGACTGCTGTCTCAGCATATCCAGCATACATACGCATTAAAGTATACTGTAGCCATCCGAAGTGCTAACACAAACAGTCCGACATTAGAAATGAAGTTCATAATTGATTGTAGCAGAAGTCACCAACAGATCAGCAGTTGCCCACACGATCAATTTTAATCACATACGGGCACCACCAATATTGCGACAACAGAATTTGCGCCATTTTTTAAATTTAACAATTCACACCGCCACGTTGGTCGCAGTCGAAAAAAAACCGTAATTCCAAATGAAATCAGCAGCTCACAGTGTCACGCCATGTATTCAACTCAGAAGCTGATCGACGAAACTATATCCAGTCTACCAATGGAGCAAAAATGCATCGGTCACCGTCCGGCAGAAGCAAAAAATGTCCATCGGCTCCAAACAGTGGCCCTGCCTTGCGTCCATTCTGCCGGTGTGTTTCGCCGGGTGTTTATCGCTTGCGCTATGTCCTGGTGGGGTACAAGAAGCAAGCAGCACGATGGAACAGGGTTTCAGGGACTTTGGCTCGTTTATTTCTCTTTAGAATGGTGGCACTTTGTGTTTATCGCTTGTTGTAGATAGAGACTTTAAGGTCCAAGAAACTGACCGATGAAGAAGAAATCTGGTGAGTTAGTTTGATACTTAGGTTAAGTTCGTTGCGTATCCTTTACATGACGTTGAAGAACCAACCCCAGCAGCTCCTGGCTGTTGTGGGGTTTCTCTAGGCAAATTTACGTCCAGTTCTTTGCCATTGCCTTCTGGACGGTAGGATCCCTGATACCACTGTCGAACCCAACGCAAGGCGCATGGCCCGCAGCTGAGATCGAACCCGGCACCCTGGCATTACGAAGCGTTCGCATCGACTTAAGTTTGATACTAGGGTGACAAAAATTAAATGAAAATATGGTGTTCTACTACTGACAATAATTTGTGTAATGTGCCTGCATTATTTATAAATTAAAATCATTGTTTTAAATTTTAAATGCCCTAAACCACTAATACACGCTACAGGAGATCGCAGATTGTCAAGAGGCACGAAGGCACAGTCGGCAAGGCACCTAATGATGATGATACCCCCAACCGGATGTTGTGCTCACAATATCGAAAGTAGAATGTCAAGAAGACTAAAAAGTCTATAACCTACAACTACACAGGTTTAGTTGATTGCTTCATCATCATCGTTGTAGGCTCGACTCCCTGATCGGCTGTTCAGCAGGTTTGCGTTTTCTCTGTTAAATTTGAGTTAACCCTTCAGCTGTGAGTTTCTTTTTTTTTAAATATGTATTTGTAATAATAAAATATTATTGAATATTTGTTTATAGCTAGCTCAGAATGAAGAATCAGAAATCTTCTACTTCTACCATCGGTCCTAGGTTTAACTTCTCTCCTTGGTCCTAGGTTCAACTTCTACCTTCAGTCCTAGGTTTAACTTCTCCCCTCGGTCCCAGGTTTAACTTCTCCCCTCGGTCCTAGGTTTAACTTCTCTCCTTGGTCCTAGGTTCAACTTCTACCTTCAGTCCTAGGTTTAACTTCTCCCCTCGGTCCCAGGTTTAACTTCTCCCCTCGGTCCTAGGTTTAACTTATATCCTTTCTTAGGTTCAACTTCTCCCCTCGGTCCTAGGTTTAACTTCTTTCCTCGGTTTCTAGGTTCAACTTCTCTCCTTGGTTATGGTTAGGGCAATGCGAATTACAATTACGACACCTCCACCAGAATCTGTCATAAAAGTCCAGTCGCGACACTAACGATCCAAAACATGATACGTCAGTACCGGACAGGTCACATACCAGTAACGGGACATAACTTAAAAGTGACACGACCAGACGAAATTACAGACAAAGCGACACAAAACGCATAAGACATGGAAGAGTGAATATCACTACGTGTGGATGTACTCGTTTTTTTATGAATATAAGTACAGGCATTGGTAAACGCATATGAAAGAGTTTGCGTGTGTACGTAATGTCAATTAGGTATGCATACACGGATAAGTATGAAAGGACGTACAAAAATGTAGAGTTGTCTGCATGTATGAGTACTCGAGTGCATGTACGCATACACCTAGTTGGGTGCGTCCATATACTCCGGGGATTCATAAACAAAACCATCCCACTCCACAGCATGCATACAACATGCACATGACCGACAGGACTCATAACAAAAATATGACTGACAGCAAATAGGGAATACAAGTGACTCGATAATGACAGGACTAGAACGCATAACTTCATCACTGGGATAATAGCAAAGGTTGGTAACGTGATACACATAGTGCCGGCAAAAAGCCACGCTAGAATCCAGCAAGACGGCAACGACGAGAATTGACTGAATGGCCTCCCGCTCCCCTTTCCCCCACCTTTCCCTAACTCTTTCGGATGCACTATGAGTTTAACCCCCAACCCATTCCCACAGAGAGCACTTGAGTTCGTTGCCCAACATGCCACAACAATTCTCATCGCCGATCATTTGGATCTCAAAGCGTGAGCTGGACGGTCCGGTTATATGGTATTTACGTACACCGGAGCTTAGCTATCAACACAACCCGATCACATAATAACAAATGACGACTGGACCCGCTTAAGACTCCACACAAACTCTCACACACATATCCATTACATGACTAACCCGTTTATATTACAGGAAGACAACTATAAGACCACTATGGTCACACGCAGAAAATTTTCACATTTCGGAACTATTCACATTCAAAAACTGTTTTCAGTACTTTTTGGCAAAATTAAAATACTCAAAATTTTAAAACAATAAATGGTGGCCGAAAGGTCGTTGTGTTTGGAAGCTCGCTCTCCTTCGAGATACGCCTAGCCAGATCAAAGGGAGACAGAACAAACAGGAAACACCAAGAATGAAGAAGGAAGACATGCACCAGTGACAACAGGACGAGCGGTTTGATTCGGATGGAAGCATTAAGCCAGAAATGGCACAAACACCAGTATTCAGTCACAAAAGTGACGCAAATAACCCAGACCACAAATATAGGCGTAGACTGTTAGCAGCCTAGGCTAGCTAGCAGCAGTCTGAACGTGGTCGAGCTTTTCTTTTTTTCTCAAAAGGACTTGGACTTGGACTAACGATCGAAGGGTTAGGCATGCAGCATTACGGAGACGGGACTGGTATATTCGCTGAACAGAGATCCTAATTTTACACACCACTAAGGCCCTGTTAGGGTATTTTCTTAGCCTCTATAATTTAGGACCATTATTTTGAGGATAGCCATAACTTTATACTATAAGTTTTTTTTTTTTTTTTTAAACTCATCTTGCATACAATAACAAGTACACTAAAAAGATATAAAATAACTTACACTATGGTATGTTGGACATAATATATTCACAGTGACGTGTGTTTTCACATTTATATTGTATGTATACATTATCATATAATTTAGTGGACACTTGAGTTTAGCTAATTATCTTTTGAAATAGTCATCTACAGTTTTATACCATGACTAGTAAAAGCATGGGGGTGCCGACATATATGTACACATAACAACTTGATCATGTGTATGATTAGTTGAGTCCAGTAATATAAACTTTTTTAGGCGCCCCTCGCTTGCACTGGTTTTAACAGTGTGTCAGGAACCAACCATTCAGAAAGCAGTGGCAAACTACTAAATGTAACATTGCCTGGTAAAATCACAGATGGCTAAATAAAAAAATGCTCTGTTAAGGATGCACAATTGACCTTACGTTCTTCTTCTTCTTCTTCAGCATTACGAGCCCTTGAGATTCGTTGCTGCAGGTATCACCCGCCTCCATTCATCTCTCTAGTTGGCCTTCTCTTTCCAGTTGGTGACACCAGGTGTTTGCAGGTCTGTCTGGACATTATCTCTCTATCGTCTTCTTGGTCTGCCTCGTGGTCTACGACCATTCATCTCCCTGGTGTATACAGTTTTTACTTGTAATCAGTGGTGATTTAAACAAATTATGAATTACCTTATGTTATGTTACCTAATGAAATGCTTATAACATGCAGCTCGTATGCACGTTTATTTTTTCACATTTATTTAATGTGCAAGTCTGTATAACATGAGTAGATTTCTGTCGTGTGCAAAGTCTTGTTGTGATTTTCAGGTTTGATGTTGTGGAAACAAGTGAGACACCTAGGGAAAACACCGACAGTCTACGCCACTGCCCTCCTGCTAGCGACAGCAACTAGAGCTCACCTCTGCCAGCAGCAGAGTCCCAAGTCTAGTCCGAATATTTTCATACCTGATCAGAACAACTTCATGGCACAACCCAAGCTTATTGTATTTGATTTGGGTAAGACTTGTGTGAAAAACCAGGCAGGGAGCCGCATTAGCGTAGTCGATAGGAGGTTCGCTTGCAAATCAAGCTGCGACTTGCTGCAGCCACGGTCGGTGTTCGAAACCAGGCGGTTCCCGGGGTTTACCCAGCCTCTAGAAAATGGGTAGCAGAGTGACATTCTGGGGTAAATGGAGGAACGTCGCTGTAGCTACAGAGTTACGTGCGGACGGCAACGCAGGCGGACAGTTTCTTATCAGTTGTCCGCACTGGTGGCAGAGCACTTATGGTTTATAACCGTGTGCAATGACACTGGTTCACATCTCCCGACTTTACTTTACTTTACTAACCTTCTGTCTCCTGTACTTTCACTCATTTCCGACACAGATGATCCTCCATGCCATGATGTCAGACTGCCCGGAATCTTCTCTCTCTTGGTCTCCAGCAGCCCCTCTTCCAGTCCAGCTTTGCCACTGTCACAGTGTGCTCATGCTTCCTCTTTCTCATGATATTTATAAATTATCTCCTTCCCCGTGTGGTTTCCAGGGCCCTATTATAGAGAAAACAAGAATAGACCCACTGCCTACCCAAAAGCTTGTGGTAAGAGCCGACTAATTGGGAGCTTCCTTCGAAGTCGGAGTGCATCTGCCTGAGGCAAGGAACCAGCAGTCTGCATACAAATGAGTCAAATCTGTAAAACGGATGCACACACAACACTCAGGTTCTGGAACAAGGACTGCAGTCCAGAGGTTGACGAACAACCAGAACTTTCCACCGGAGTTTTCAGCTGGTGAACACAAAGAAAAAGAAGAAGACTATCTCCTAATGTGGGTAATCAGTTCTCCTCAGAAGTTTATGTCTTTCGAGACATCTTCATTACTCTTTGAATCTGTCCAAAGTGTTCTCCCCACTCATCCAACAAACCATTTCTCGGTAGCTTCTGCTTAATATTTATTCTACAATTGAATCTACTGACTGTTCATTAGGTAAAATGGGAATTTTGACAAAATTTGATGTTAAGTAAAAATAAAAATTAAAAGCATTTCCCAACTACAGTCAAGTAGTTCACTTAAGTGGAACTTGGATAAGTCAAATTTACGTTAAGTCGACATGACATGTTTAGTCCCAGCAATTTTCTCTATTGTGTGTGCTGTCTGGATAAGTAGGAATCCTGATAAGTGGAAGAATTTTCTTAGGTCCCCGCGACTTCTACTCATCCAGACGACTACTGAACTGTGTATGTTTATCCAGACTGGACTGTACTAAACTGTGTATGTTTATCCAGACTGGACTGTACTAAACTGTGTATGTTTATCCAGACTGGACTGTACTAAACTGTTTAAGTTTATCCAGACTGGACTGTACTAAACTGTGTATGTTTATCCAGACTGGACTGTACTAAACTGTGTATGTTTATCCAGACTGGACTTTACTAAACTCTGCATGTTTATCCAGACTGGACTTTACTAAACTGTGCATGTTTATCCAGACTTGACTGTACTAAACTGTGTATGTTTATCCAGACTGGACTTTACTAAACTCTGCATGTTTATCCAGACTTGACTGTACTAAACTGTGCATGTTTATCCAGACTGAACTTTACTAAACTGTGTATGTTTATCCAGACTGGACTGTACTAAACTGTTTATGTTTATCCAGACTGGACTGTACTAAACTGTGTATGTTTATCTGGACTGGACTAAACTGTGTATGTTTATCCAGACTGGACTGTACTAAACTGTGTATGTTTATCCAGACTGGACTGTACTAAACTGTTTATGTTTATCCAGACTGGACTGTACTAAACTGTGTATGTTTGTCAATTTCAGACTACACTCTTTGGCCATTCTGGGTTGACACACATGTGGATCCTCCATTTCGCATGGCATCGTAAGTTCCAGTTGTTACACAGTCAACCCCTTGCAAAAGCTGTAGAAAAAATATATATGTATATGTTAAGTCAGTCAAACTTGAAAGCTAGCTATTCATTGAGAACTGGGGAAAATGTTCCAGAAAGTAAGGGTTGCCAGCATGACACTGACTTATCCCACCACATAATAGGTTTCAAAAATATGAGAATAGCACCATATGTAATAGTTTTCAAGTTGTGAAAATGTGTCTTGCTAACTACATGTAGTATGTTCACAGTATAAGCCTATTGTCTCAACAGTGTATGTTCACAGTATGAGCCTGTTGTCTCAACAGTGTATGTTCACAGTATGAGCCTATTGTCTCAACAGTGTATGTTCACAGTATAAGCCTATTGTCTCAACAGTGTATGTTCACAGTATAAGCCTATTGTCTCAACAGTGTATGTTCACAGTATGAGCCTATTGTCTCAACAGTGAATGTTCACAGTATAAGCCTATTGTCTCAACAGTGTATGTTCACAGTATGAGCCTATTGTCTCAACAGTGTATGTTCACAGTATGAGCCTATTGTCTCAACAATGTATGTTCACAGTATAAGCCTATTGTCTCAACAGTGTATGTTCACAGTATAAGCCTATTGTCTCGACAGTGTATGTTCACAGTATGAGCCTATTGTCTCAACAATGTATGTTCACAGTATAAGCCTATTGTCTCGACAGTGTATGTTCACAGTATGAGCCTATTGTCTCAACAGTGTATATTCACAGTATGAGCCTATTGTCTCAACAGTGTATGTTCACAGTATGAGCCTATTGTCTCAACAGTGTATGTTCGCAGTATGAGCCTATTGTCTCAACAGTGTATGTTCACAGTATGAGCCTATTACTCAACAGTTAGGACTGTCATTATCATCATCATCATCATGTGCCATGCCGCTAAGCGTAGGCTGTCATGTTTTGCCATCTCACACGATCACCAGAATCATAGATCAGTTCAGTGTGTTTGTTTCGGCCCAACAGCCTGGCCAGGCCATCCAGTTATTTGTCTCTTTGCCTTCCTCTTGCTCTTTTCCCATCAGTCTTCCCAGTAGTTACCAAGTTCTTGAGTCTGTTACTTCCCACAGTATGTTCACACAATATTGAATGTTTACCTCTAATTGTTCTAATACGTTTACGACTGTCGTCTGTCTCAATGAGAGCTGCTTCATCTATTTTTCTTCGTCCTTGATATTCTTTGCATTTTTCTCAAAAACGGGCTGGCTTATTATCCATGTTTCACATGCGTATAACAACATAGGTTCTTCATAACAGTTGCAAGCTTTTCTCTCACTACAGTGACGTCTCATTGGTGAGAATCTTGTGTATCTTGCTGAAGGTCACCCTTGCCATGGCAACCCTTATTCTAATTTCTGCAAGGCATGTTGCACTTGAATTTGTGTCTGTTCCTAAATGGCTGTATCTATTAACTTGCTTAAAAATGTTACCGTTTGCATGTGTTTCATACTAGGTTGTGACTGTTCCTAATTAGTTATATCTGTTAACTTGCTCAAGAATGTTACCATTTGCTTGTGTTTCATATTAGGTTGTGACTGTTCCTAATTAGTTATATCTGTTAACTTGCTCAAGAATGTTACCGTTTGCTTGTGTTTCATACTAGGTTTTGACTGTTCCTAATTAGTTATATCTGTTAACTTGCTCAAGAATGTTACCGTTTGCTTGTGTTTCATACTTTAGTATTTCTTTCTTCTTGTTGATGACCATCACTTTTGTTTTCTTAAAGCTTAGCTCTAAACCTAGTTCTTACTGTGGACTATTACTGCATCCACTAAATACTGCAAATCTTCTTCATTGACTACAGTTAACACCGTTCTATCTCATCACTATCAATCAGTATACCATCTCATCACCATCCATCAGTATACCATCTCATCACCATCCATCAGTATACCATCATCATCACCATCCATCAGTACACCATCTCATCACCACCAGTCAGTTTACCATCTCATCACCATCAGTCAGTATACCATCTCATCACCATCAGTCAGTTTACCATCTCATCACCATCCATCAGTATACCATCTCATCACCATCAGTCAGTTTACCATCTCATCACCATCCATCAGTACACCATCTCATCACCATCAGTCAGTTTACCATCTCATCCATCAGTACACCATCTCATCACCATCAGTCAGTTTACCATCTCATCACCATCAGTCAGTTTACCATCTCATCACCATCCATCAGTATACCATCTCATCACCATCAGTCAGTATACCATCTCATCACCATCCATCAGTATACCATCTCATCACCATCAGTCAGTACACTATCTCATCACCATCAGTCAGTACACTATCTCATCACCATCAGTCAGTATACCATCTCATCACCATCAGTCAGTTTACCATCTCATCACGATCAGTCAGTATACCATCTCATCACCATCAGTCAGTATACCATCTCATCACCATCAGTCAGTTTACCATCTCATCACCATCCATCAGTATACCATCTCATCACCATCAGTCAGTACACTATCTCATCACCATCAGTCAGTACACTATCTCATCACCATCAGTCAGTACACTATCTCATCACCATCAGTCAGTATACCATCTCATCACTATCAGTCAGTTTACCATCTCATCACCATCAGTCAGTACACTATCTCATCACCATCAGTCAGTACACTATCTCATCACCATCAGTCAGTATACCATCTCATCACCATCAGTCAGTACACTATCTCATCACCATCAGTCAGTACACTATCTCATCACCATCAGTCAGTATACCATCTCATCACCATCCATCAGTATACCATCTCATCACCATCCGTCAGTATACCATCTCATCACCATCCGTCAGCATCTCCTTTACAGAGTGTCGCTGTCTTGACGGCACTTCTGAAAGTCTCTTCTTTCGCTAGCCATTCTCCAGCCCTGTGTGATTTCATGTCCAATTCATCTTTAGTGCCATGTATCCACCATTGTGGAGGTCATTCTCTGCCACATTTTCCAGAACATGCCTCCATCATCAATCTCTGCTGACCACCAAGACACTTGACACCTCCAGAATACCTCAGCTTTAGGGAGAGGCTGCTTTTTACCAGCCAGATTTTCATGTTTTTGTTCTTCTTGGTCCACAGTTTTCTGAGAACTTTTCTGTAGCATTTCATTTCAAAAGCTTTGATTTTCTTCTTCAAAGCCTGAGTGAGAGTCCTGGACTCACATCCATAAGCTGCCACAGGAAAGATGCATGATCTCAGAATAGTCAAACTTGCAAGTCAAACTTGCTTGCAGGTGTTAGGCCATCCCTATCCTCTGCATATCTTTTGTTATTGATGTTACCTCCTTCCACCTTAATTCCTTTCACGTCTTGCAGATGTCACATAATATTTTTACCCTATATGGAAAAGAGTCTGCAGACATTACACATCTGTGTCACACGCCTCTCTTGATTGGTTGGTATAGGTCTACTTCGTTATCAGTTTGTTGCTATTATATGTTCTGAGTACCAGGGTGACACTGAGAAAATACAAAAAGATCGCTATCCCCAACATTCATATCATAGAGGGCAGCTAGTTAGGAGTGTCTTATGAAATTGGAGGTGGACTGAAAGTCACAGATATCACAGTATTGGTTGTAAAACACAAACTTTTTGTGCCAACCACCACTCTTTCATGGGTGAACATAGTAGAAGGAGAAGATGGCATCAGTTTTATATTTTCTCATCATCTTCTGTAGTTCTACACGGTTGATATCAGGGAACAATGTTGAAGGGGGAAGTAGCCAGTTTCCTTCCCTAGGAAAATGGCAGGGAGATTTAAGAAAAGTGACACGTTTGTTGAAGTGACTAAATATGGAAGTTTGAAGGTGAATGACAAGGAAGAAAATGTGTGTGACGTATATTTTCCTTAATTTTTCCTTTTGTAATTTACAGTTGATTTCTCTCTTCAAAAATTGATTTTTTAAGTCTAACTTTTGCTTTAAAATTGATGTATCTAAAATGTTGTCTGTTTGCTTAGGGGTTTTTGTTGTTTTTTAACAGGATAGGAATTGTCAACTGTTGCCAGAGCAATAGACAAATTCTGAAAATAAAATTTTCTAGTAAAACCACATTAGTTGCTAGAGTGGGTTTACAATGTGACTAATGTTTAAGAGAAATGTAAGCTACAAATAATTTCTCTTATTTAATGTTCATAATTTAATATAACATACACTAGATTCCTTCACTTTAGAATCAGTTCTTCTGACTGTCATACATGTGATTTGTCATGTTGACTAATTTTAAATATGATTTTTTCCTTCAAAATCTAACATCCAGCTAATTTCTTTTAAATATTTATTCATGTATCTAGCATATGTCTAGAAAGCAGTGGCAAACTACTGGACGTAAATTTGCCTAGAAAGACCATACAACAGCCAGGGACTGTTGGGGTTGGTTCTGCAACGTCCTGTAAAGGATACGCAACTATCATTTATCAAGCAAATTGTTGATTCAGTTACTTGATCTGTTATTGGTTCTAACATAGTGAGTTCCCTTATCTGTGGGTGCTGATTGTATCCCACATGATGGACAGTTCTGGCTTCACATGGTGCTCCTGTCCTTGCTTTCAGAAATGGCAAAGTCTATGATGCTCACAAGAAACATGTCAAGTATTATGAAGATGTGCCTGACATCCTGAAGAAGTTACACAGTGAAGGCTTCAAGCTTGGGATTGCTTCCAGGTACTTGCAGTAGCTGTTGTTCTTGTTGTCTCAGTGCTCTGGTTGTTTATTCTGTAGTTCTTGTTGTCTCAATGTTCTTGTTGTCTATTCTGTTGCTATTCTTGTTGTCTCAATGTTCTTGTTGTCTATTCTGTTGCTATTCTTGTTGTCTCAATGTTCTTGTTGTCTATTCTGTTGCTATTCTTGTTGTCTCAATGTTCTTGTTGTCTGTTCTGTTGCTATTCTTGTTGTCTCAATGTTCTTGTTGTCTATTCTGTTGCTATTCTTGTTGTCTCGGTGTTCTTGTTGTTTATTCTGCCGTTATTCCAACGGGTACCCGGTGATCTGATTATTAGATGGTTCGGTGGTGAGAGGAAAGAGAAGTGCTTGAGGGTTCGTAGCGAAAGCCAATAGAAAATCTTTAGTGCAGGATAGCCTAGCATATGACATCACAACATCTAGCATAATAATGGAGATGGAGGCAGTACCTGCAGCTCTCCGGTGGCTAGAGAACAAGATGCATACACATGTCGTAATTGTAACAGACTCCGAAGGCATGCTAAGAAAGATGAAGACAGGGATGCTTCAAGCAGAGTGGCAAGCTTCACTGGGAAGGTCACGGATAGTGAGCATACTTTGGATCTTTTCTCCAGGCTATGTCGGTGTGGTGGGTAATAAACTGGCAGACAAGATTGGCTAAATCTGCGCCACTGGGTGGTGAATTGATTCATGACAACGCAGATATGGTCAAGGCTTTTTGGGAACAAGCAACGGAATTAGTAGAGAAACAAGATTATTATGGCCTTGTGAGAATGAGGCACCTGGGTGTAACCAGAGGGTCTGGCTGGCTCACTACACTCAAAGAAAAGGGACGACGGACACATAACCAGACTGTGACCGCTACCATCGGTATTGGAACTCTGCGCTGGCTGCTGAAGATGTGGACGGAGCACACATGGAAATACCCCGAGGGCTGTGATGTCAATTCTTGACCCAACTCTGTCATTGTTCTTGTTGTCTCAGTGTTCTGGTTGTCTGTTCTGTTGTTGTTCTTGATGTCTCAGTGTTCTGGTTGTCTATTCTTATTGTCTCAGTGTTGTGGTTGTTTATTCTATCACCCAGCTGTTGCTACCGTTATCTTTTCTTGCTTTTACTCTTGTGTTATTATTTTCTATAACATTAGTCTGTTATTTCAGAACAGGTGCGGTTCAAGAGGCGTCTGACCTGACTAGGCTCTTTAACTGGGACCAGTATTTCCACTACAGACAAATCTACCCAGGCTCTAAGATCACACATTTCAAGAAGTAAGATTATGTTAGTTTCTGTTCTGAAAGTAAGATTATATTAGTTTCTGTTCTGAAAGTAAGATTATATTAGTTTCTGTTCTGAAAGTAAGATTATGTTAGTTTCTGTTCTGAAAGTAAGATTATATTAGTTTCTGTTCTGAAAGTAAGATTATGTTAGTTTCTGTTCTGAAAGTAAGATTATGTTAGTTTCTGTTCTGAAAGTAAGATTATATTAGTTTCTGTTCTGAAAGTAAGATTATATTAGTTTCTGTTCTGAAAGTAAGATTATGTTAGTTTCTGTTCTGAAAGTAAGATTATATTAGTTTCTGTTCTGAAAGTAAGATTATGTTAGTTTCTGTTCTGAAAGTAAGATTATATTAGTTTCTGTTCTGAAAGTAAGATTATATTAGTTTCTGTTCTGAAAGTAAGATTATATTAGTTTCTGTTCTGAAAGTAAGATTATACTAGTTTCTGTTCTGAAAGTAAGATAATATTAGTTTCTGTTCTGAAAGTAAGATAATATTAGTTTCTGTTCTGAAAGTAAGATAATATTAGTTTCTGTTCTGAAAGTAAGATAATATTAGTTTCTGTTCTGAAAGTAAGATAATATTAGTTTCTGTTCTGAAAGTAAGATAATATTAGTTTCTGTTCTGAAAGTAAGATTATACTAGTCCCCATTCTTCTTCTTCTTTGTTCACCGGCTGTAAGCTCTGAGGAAAGTACTGGTTGTTCGTCCATTTGGCTCTGGCTTTATGCCAGGGCCTGAGTTTGGGTGTACATTCATTTTACTTGCTTATTTGTGTGCAGTTGGTTGTTTCTTGCTGCTCATGCAGATGTGCTGCAACTTCGAATGAAGTCCCCAGTTAGCTGACTCCCATGACTAGCTTCCTGGGATGACAGTGGGTTAATTTTTGTTATATTAGACTCCTTTCAAGAAGTAATACTGTATTAAATAAAACTCCATTCAAGAAGTAATACTGTATTATAATAGACTCCATTCAAGAAGTAATACTGTATTATATTAGACTCCATTCAAGAAGTAATACTGTATTATATTAGACTCCATTCAAGAAGTAATACTGTATTATATTAGACTCCATTCAAGAAGTAATACTGTATTATATTAGACTCCTTTCAAGAAGTAATACTGTATTATATTAGACTCCATTCAGGAAGTAATACTGTATTATATTAGACTCCATTCAAGAAGTAATACTGTATTATATTAGACTCCATTCAAGAAGTAATACTGTATTATATTAGACTCCATTCAAGAAGTAATACTGTATTATATTAGACTCCTTTCAAGAAGTAATACTGTATTATATTAGACTCCATTCAAGAAGTAATACTGTATTATATTAGACTCCATTCAAGAAGTAATAGTGTATTATATTAGACTCCATTCAAGAAGTAATATTGTATTATATTAGACTCCATTCAAGAAGTAATATTATATTAGACTCCATTCAAGAACTAATTTTACATTAGACTCCATTCAAGAAGTAATTTTACATTAGACTCCATTCAAGAAGTAATACTGTATTATATTAGACTCCATTCAAGAACTAATTTTACATTAGACTCCATTCAAGAAGTAATACTGTATTATATTAGACTCCATTCAAGAAGTAATTTTACATTAGACTCCATTCAAGAAGTAATACTGTATTATATTAGACTCCATTCAAGAAGTAATACTGTATTATATTAGACTCCATTCAAGAAGTAATAGTGTATTATATTAGACTCCATTCAAGAAGTAATATTGTATTATATTAGACTCCATTCAAGAAGTAATATTATATTAGACTCCATTCAAGAAGTAATATTATATTAGACTCCATTCAAGAAGTAATATTATATTAGACTCCATTCAAGAAGTAATACTGTATTATATTAGACTCCATTCAAGAAGTAATATTATATTAGACTCCATTCAAGAAGTAATACTGTATTATATTAGACTCCATTCAAGAAGTAATATTATATTAGACTCCATTCAAAAAGTAATACTGTATTATATTAGACTTCCACGTCTTGGGCACCATTAACAGAAACCATAATAATATTTGCCTGATTTATTCTCATTATCTTTGTCTTTCCTTTATGGATTTTCTGACCTAGTTGCTGTGATCTCGCATCAAGTATATTTAATTTATCTTGCATCTGATTCCCTGAATGGGACAGAAGAGAAATATCATCAGCGAAGTTCAGATCATCAGTCTGTTTTGTAGGGGTCCACTGAATTCCATTCTTGGTGTTAGCAGTTTCTGTCTTTTTAATCCAGTCTATAGCCAGTAAAAATAGGAGAGGCGACGAAAGACATCACTGTTGCACACCTGTTTTTATTTCAAATGTATTTGTTAGCTTTCCCTCATGAAGAACTCGACATTTCATGTCTTTATCTGTTGCCTTTACTAAGTTAATACTTGTCTGTGAGAATCCGTAGTGCCCCATTGGCTTCCAGAGAGATTCCCTATCAATGCTGTCAAATACTTTTTCATAGTCTATAAATTCAATGTAAAGTGGTGAGTTCAGTTCAATGCTTTGTTCAATTATTATACGCAATGTGGCTATCTGGACAGTACAGGATCTGTTCCGCCGAAAACCCGCCTGTTTATCTCTTAGCTTTTTATCAATAGCATCTTTTAATCTTTCCACAATAATTTTCCAGGAACTGACAGCAACATAATTCCTCTATAGTTTTCACACTCCTGTAGATCACCTTTTTTTGGGTCAGTTTCACAAGGTCTCTGGTCTGCTGGTATTTCTTTGGTCTCCTAGACTAATTAATGTCTGTAGCAATTCTATTGGTGTGTTTATATTAGCCTAAATAGCTTCTGCTAGGATACCATCTGGACCTGCTGCCTTTCCTTCTTTCAGAAGATTGATATTTTATAATTACCCCTTTAGATGGTGTCTCAAATTTCTAAAGGCTGGGTATCTAAAGGAACCTCTAGGGCTGGTCTATTTGGGAGTAATACTCAGCCCATCTGATTTTTAGTGTTGGTGAACACCTTTCCTTGACTATTTTTGATTGATCCAGTTGGCTGACTGTATTTACCTACTAATTTTCTTGTGTTACTGTAAAGTTCTCTGAGGTTTCCTTTTGCTGCTGCTGTCTCCGCTTCTTGAGCTAGATCATTTAAATATTTCACTTTATCTGTCCTTATGCGCCTCCTAACTTCCTTTTTGGCTTCTGTGTATTTATCTTGAGTTCTAACTTTAGCAGCTCTAGTTTTGCTATTGTTTAAGTCTGCCTTTTTTTTTTTTTTTACTTTTCCTATCTTCAATCAATTTAGGACGTGGAGTCGTACACCTACTTGGGCAGTAATGTAGATTAAGATGGTGGAACTGATAGAGATATTAAAATAAGAATACAAAAGGCAAGAGGAGCTTTCATAGCACAAGGGAATTTGTGGAGGTCAAAAGAAATTAAAAGAAATACTAAACTTAAATTTTAAATTCTAATGTCAAATCAGTACTTTTGTATGGGGTGGAAACATGGAGAACAACTAAGGCAATTACTAATAAATTACAGACATTCATTAACTGGTGCCTGCGCAGAATAGAGGGAATAAATTGATGACAGAATAGCTAATGTAGTGCTTTGGGAGAGAAGTAAGCAAGCTCCAGTGGACCAAGAGGTGAGGAAAGACACCAGCGTTGGATAGGACATTCATTGAGAAAACCGGAGAACAGCATAACTAGAATGTCTTTGCATTGGAACCCACAGGGGCATGGGCATAAAGGAAGGCCAAAAAACACACGGAGAAGAGAGCTGGAGAATGAAGTTTGAAAGATGGGAAGAGCTCCATGTTATAGGGAATAATAGAACGACCTGGCGTGGGTTGAGGGCCTATGCTCCATTGGGGGATAGAAAAGCTGAAGAAGAATATTAGACTCCATTCAAGAAGTAATACTGTAGACTCCATTCAAGAAGTAATTTTATATTTGACTCCATTCAAGAAGTAATATTAGACTCCATTCAAGAAGTAATACTGTAGACTCCATTCAAGAAGTAATACTGTAGACTCCATTCAAGAAGTAATACTGTATTATAATAGACTCCATTCAAGAAGTAATATTAGACTCCATTCAAGAAGTAATATTAGACTCCATTCAAGAAGTAATACTGTATTATAATAGACTCTATTCAAGAAGTAATACTGTATTATATTAGACTCCATTCAAGAAGTAATACTGTATTATATTAGACTCCATTCAAGAAGTAATATTATGTTAGACTCTATTCAAGAATCCAATGAAGATCACAGTTTGTTAGCTGGCACCTGTGTCTTTCCAGATGTTAGGTTTATACTGGGCTATAGGGAGGCATGGCAGTCACAGCCTGTATGAGATGAGGTGACTAGCAAGGCTGGAAAATGTTGAGAAAAATCTTCCACAAGTATGAGAGTTCATCTTGCATCTATTTAACCTGCTTCTTCTCAGACGCTCAATTTTTCAACTACCCTGCAATCACTTCTTTCTTTATCCTTATTCTTCTTCAGCATTCCGAGCCCTTGAGGTTCATTGCTGCAGATATCGCCCGCCTCCATTCATCTCTCTGGTTGGCCATCTTCAGCATTCAGAGCCCTTGAGGTTCATTGCTGCAGATATCGCCCGCCTCCATTCATCTCTCTGGTTGGCTATCTTCAGCATTCAGAGCCCTTGAGGTTCATTGCTGCAGATATCGCCCGCCTCCATTCATCTCTCTGGTTGGCCTTCTTCAGCATTCAGAGCCCTTGGGGTTCGTTGTTGCAGATATGGCCCGCCTCCATTCATCTCTCTGGTTGGCCTTCTTCAGCATTCAGAGCCCTTGAGGCTCATTGCTGCAGATATCGCCCGCCTCCATTCATCTCTCTGGTTGGCCTTCTTCAGCATTCAGAGCCCTTGGGGTTCGTTGCTGCAGATATCGCCCGCCTCCATTCATCTCTCTGGTTGGCCTTCTTCAGCATTCAGAGCCCTTGGGGTTCGTTGTTGCAGATATGGCCCGCCTCCATTCATCTCTCTGGTTGGCCTTCTTTAGCATTCCTTGCTTTAAACTAGATGTTATTTGAAAAGGGTCTGACTTTCTGCCTTTATATGTTACTATATTATAAGTGTCTTCCATACATAGTTTGGTCATGGTGACTAGCTTTGTTTGTATTCCATAAACTGTTTCTTTGTACACTATCATATGCCTTTTGAAAATCACCTAACATTATGTACACCTCTTTTACATTTCCAGTTTTCCTCTGCTGTTTCCCTTAAAATAAATATTTGATCTATCGTTGATCTGTTCTGTCAGAAACCCGCTTGGTAATTTCCCAATATGTTTACGATGTATGGTTTTAGTCTAGCAGTACCGACGATAGTATTTTGTAGCTTGTAGATAATAGTGACATTCCTCTATAATTTTCACACTTATACTTGTCTCCTTTCTTAGAAATTGGTATTAATAAAGACACTTTCCACTCATGGGGTGTTTTCTCTGTCCTCCAAACTAGTTTTATTAATTCATATATCTTTGAAAGTAATGCATGAGGACCTTCTCTGGTAAATTCAGCTGCAATTCCATTAGCACCAGTTGCTTTATTGTTTTTAAGCCGTGTTATGACATAAAGTACTTCTTCAAAATCAGGTTCTTTAATATTGGTTCACAAGTTAGTATCTCTTCCTGTTTTTAAGTATTTAGTGGAGTTTCACAATTTAACAATTCAGCAAAGTATTCCTTCCATCTGTTAAATATTTCCTCATTATTATTTATCATGTTTCCATTGTGATCTTTTAAACTACATAGGCTGTGTTGATGTACTCGTTTTACAGCCTTCCGTTCTTTAAAAAAAACTTAACATATTCTTACTTTTGCTGCCCAACTACTTATGCAGCTTATTTACATTCTGTTCTATATTTTTCTTCATTCATATGTTACTAGTAGCAGCCACATCTGCCTGGCACGTTTTTGTATCTTACTGACTGCTTCTTCACATTTTTAGTTGACCATCTGTTGTTTCTGTTTATGGTGGACACACCAAGACATTCTTCTGCAGTGGTTAGAATTATATTCCTAATATCCATCCACGTTTGGTCATTGTCTTCCTCTGAAGGAATTTGTAAAATTTCAATTTTATGTTTTAATTCATCTGCAAATATCTCTGATATGGATGTAATCTTTCTCTGCTGTTCTAAGTTCTCTTTGCAGCTTGGTGTAGAAGTATCTCTTAAGCTTGATTTTTATTTCTGCAACAACCAGGTAGTGGTCATAATTCTGCAACAACCAGGTAGTGGTTATAATTCTGCAACAACCCTGTAGTGGTTATAATTCTGCAACAACCAGGTAGTGATCATAATTCTGCAACAACCCTGTAGTGGTTATAATTCTGCAACAACCAGGTAGTGATCATAATTCTGCAACAACCCTGTAGTGGTTATAATTCTGCAACAACCCTGTAGTGGTTATAATTCTGCAACAACCAGGTAGTGATCATAATTCTACAACAACCAGGTAGTGGTTATAATTCTGCAACAACCAGGTAGTGGTTATAATTCTACAACAACCAGGTAGTGGTTATAATTCTGCAACAACCAAGTAGTGGTTATAATTCTGCAACAACCAGGTAGTGGTTATAATTCTGCAACAACCAGGTAGTGGTTATAATTCTGCAACTACCAGGTAGTGGTTATAATTCTGCAACTACCAGGTAGTGGTCATAACTCTGCAACAACCAGGTAGTGGTCATAACTCTGCAACAACCAGGTAGTGGTTATAATTCTGCAACAACCAAGTAGTGGTTATAATTCTGCAACTACCAGGTAGTGGTCATAACTCTGCAACAACCAGGTAGTGGTCATAACTCTGCAACAACCAGGTAGTGGTTATAATTCTGCAACAACCAGGTAGTGGTTATAATTCTGCAACTACCAGGTAGTGGTCATAATTCTGCAACAACCAGGTAGTGGTCATAACTCTGCAACAACCAGGTAGTGGTCATAACTCTGCAACAACCAGGTAGTGGTCATAACTCTGCAACAACCAGGTAGTGGTTATAATTCTGCAACAACCAGGTAATGGTCATAACTCTGCAACAACCAGGTAGTGGTTATAATTCTGCAACAACCAGGTAGTGGTCATCTTATAGATAAATATAGAATCTGCAACAACCAGGTAGTGGTCATAACTCTGCAACAACCAGGTAGTGGTCATAACTCTGCAACAACCAGGTAGTGATCATAACTCTGCAACAACCAGGTAGTGGTCATAACTCTGCAACAATTGCTACAGACATAATTGGTCATAGGATTCTGCAACAACCAGGTAGTGGTTATAATTCTGAACAACCAGGTAGTGATCATAAGGTGCAACAACCAGGTAGTGGTCATAACTCTGCAACAACCAGGTAATGCTGTCATAATTCTGCAACAACCAGGTAGTGATCATAATTCTGCAACAACCTATTGTAGTGATCATAAGATCTGCAACAACCAGGTAGTGGTCCTGTACTCTGCAACAACCAGGTAGTGATCATAATAATTGAACAAAGCAGGTAGTGGTCATAACTCTGCAACATTGAGGTTATGGTCATAAAAAGCAACAACCAGGTAGTGATCATAATCTCTCTGGAAACCAGGTAGTGGTCTACGGATTCTGCACAACCAGGTAGTGGTCATAATTCTGCAGATAACAGGAAATGTCGAACTCTGCAACAACCAGGTAGTGATCATAATTCTGAAATAAAAACCAGGTAGTGATCAGTGATGTCTGCAACGCCCCTGTATTTTTACTGGTTATAATTTATAAAGACAGAAACTGGTAACACCAATCATGGAATTCAGTGCAACAAAACTGTAGATGATCATAATTTTGCAATGACCCTGTAGTGGTCCCAATTCTGCAACATCCCTGTAAGATGGTCATTAAATATACTTAACTCCTCTGTAGCTTCTAACTTCCTTATCCCTATTGCCTTCCTGATTTTCCCTTTCCATGCAACACAGCCGATGGCTTAAAGTTCCCACACTACCTCTAGGGCTAGCAACCACTAGTATAATATTACTTTCTTGAATGACTATCTCAACTCAAGGAGTCTAATATAATTATTACTTATTGAATGGAGTCCAATATAATACATATTTTCTTGAATTCTGTCTAATATAATACAATTACTTCTTGAATGGAGCCTAATATTACTTCTTGACTGCTTCTTGAATGGAGTCTAATATTACAGTATTACTTCCTGAATGGAGTCTAATTTACATATATTACTTCTTGAATGGAGTCTAATATAATACAGTATTACTTCTTGAATGGAGTCTAATATAATACAGTATTACTTCTTGAACTTCTTGAATAGTCTAATATAATACAGTATTACTTCTTGAATGGAGTCTAATATAATACAGTATTACTTCTTGAATGGAGTCTAATATAATACAGTATTACTTCTTGAATGGAGTCTAATATAATACAGTATTACTTCTTGAATGGAGTCTAATATAATACAGTATTACTTCTTGAATGGAGTCTAATATAATACAGTATTACTTCTTGAATGGAGTCTAATATAATACAGTATTACTTCTTGAATGGAGTCTAATATAATACAGTATTACTTCTTGAATGGAGTCTAATATAATACAGTATTACTTCTTGAATGGAGTCTAATATAATACAGTATTACTTCTTGAACTTGAATTTAACAAACGATGTAGTATAAAACTTGACATACAGCTTTATTTTCTAACAATCAGTTAATTGACATACCCAGTTTGTTGTGTTTACACAAACAGTGACTAGCTAAAGTTATGATAGTAATGGGTTGTTTCAGCGCGAGAACAGCACCTGGGATTAGAGTGGTGTGATGAAGGTGATAAAGTATGAACAATTTATGAACATAACTCAAGTTTCATAGAACCTCTGACAGCCGTGAGCACTGTCAAGCTCTTCCTCCTCTTCCAGCTTCTTCCCTGCTTGTTTCTCCTTCTCGCCCCAACCTCGTTCTCCACCTCGTTCCCAGCTGGCCGAGTCTAACACAATGTAGGCTACTTCATGGACTGATCGTCACATGGGCGCTGTAATCATGGAAACAAAACACATACGTGTAGTATCTTGACTTACACTAAGAATATATGTATCAATTAATACAACATATAACAATAGGATATAGTAATAACGATATAGCCCATCATCACTCCTCCTCATATTCCACATCCTCTCCAGTCTAGTCTGAAGGTCTTTTGTCTTACATGGGCGTCACATATCCTGCCTTCCCTCAAATGCTATGTCATGATAGTTGA